AACACAAAGACCTTATTTTTGCATTTGCTTTGCCGAGTAATTTTCCGAATAACGACTTTATTTTTATCTGGGGCGCCTTTTCATTGCCTATACATGCAGCACCTAATTAGCACTTAATTCCTTGCTATCTAATAAATTAATTGCATTGCTAGCGATACGTTTTACCAGCAACGCAAATTTCAACTGTTCGTTGCGGTGAAAATTTTAAAACACCTAATTTTTAGACTTTGCACCTAATTAGCACTTAATTTTTAGACACTGAAAAAGAACATAAAATGCCGTTCATACCTTATGATAAGGTAATGCAGGTCATTGTCCCTATAATTCCCAGAATAATATCTTAATGTGTATCGGGTTTCGATAATCGCTCAGCACTTAATTAGCACTTAATTCCTTGCTATTAATATTTATCGTATATCTAATAACTTCATTGCGTTGTCAGCGATACGTTTTGCCAGCAATGCAAATTTCAACAGTTCATTGCGGTTAAAATTTTGGAGCAACTAATTTTTAAACTTGGTACTTAATTAGCACCTAAAAATTCCCTAATTTAGACTTTTTCTGAAAGCAATTTTGATTCTATTTTGATTTTCAGGAAAACTGAATTTTGCATCTGCTATGTTCTGAATTACGACTTTATTTTTATTAGGGGCGCCTTGTTATTTCGTATACTTGCAGCACCTAATTAGCACTTAATTCCTTGCTATTAATATTTATCGTATATCTAATAACTTCATTGCGTTGCTAGCGAGACGTTTTGCTAGCAACGCCAATTTCAACAGTTCATTGCGGTGAAAATTTTAGAGCACCTAATTTTTAAACTTGGCACCTAATTAGCACCTAAAAAGCCCCTAAGTTTGGATTTTTCCAAATGCAAATTCCCGACTTTGCGTTGCTGGCGAGACACAACTATTTACACCGGATGCGGCGCGCGATGTTGAGTGTAACCGCAAAGCGAGTGAGTAGCGACACGTCCGAACGAAGGATGCGTATAATTTTAAGAAAAACCGGAGAAATTATTGCACCCTGGGAAGTTGGGAGATTAACCATTATTAGCAGTCTCCCGGGCAATCCCCGGAACCCTACCCCAGACTACTAAATTGATAATTTGTCCATTAAATATTATTAATATAATACGTTTGGTTAATATTTTTTAATTATTTATTATAGCTTCAAAGGGTAAATTAAATTATTCGTATCTCGTTTAAACTCCAATCAAAGGCATTAATTAATTCATTTCAGTCTGTTTCTTCGAGCCAATTAATTCCTATTTGATGTAGTTCTATTAATTTTAGATTCTCATCGAATATTTGTGTATTTTATGAACTCGTCCACTTAAACCATTACTATATATATATATTTTTTTTGACTATAATTAATAGAATCAGGCGTTACTTTGCAGAAGTCCATTATATTAAAGTTGGCAAAAAATTACTTCGCGTACATCCGCTCGATAAAATAAAATTATGTGTCTTACCTAGAGAGTACCTCCCGCCCTCCCTCAATTGCGTGCACTATCGCCGTCACCACTAATCCCAGCACCACTACTTCCAACACCGCTACACTAGGAAAGACACACCACCGACAACAATACGACACGTGTTTCGCCTCTACACGAGGCATCTTCAGGTAATCTAGACTCTGCGGTGGCTGACCGCTTAGCGGTCTTTAATTTTCAACTTTAATTTTCTGACTATATCTGACTCCATTTAATACTTATATTTGCATACAGTAAATATTAAATTGCAATTGTGATAAGTGGATGCTGCGGTCCACAGACAGTTTTTTTAATGTTGGGAATTCCTTATGTAATCCTTTTGCTGCGTGCGCAACGTAATGGTTATACCGAACTTCTACCGGCTACAAGCCCGCGGTGCAAAGGCAAGCGAAGCCCCTCCATCCGCTATGCTCTGCAAAAGCAACTCCCGGACTGTTACTTTCCAACTCCAGCACCTTCACAGTGCTATTAAGATATTCCGATCAGATACCACTTTCGAGTCAATATTAAACTCGTGCATATTGCATACATTACGAGGCGTATGTGACCATGCCCCAACCATTCGCAACATACGAAGCCCTGGTTCTGATAGGGGAACAGATTCATTACAGAGAGGGCTGTGAAAAACGCTTTGACGATGTCGCATTGTCTCCGAGTGGAATCTGTACTCTCTCGATAATACTCAGTAGCGTACTCCTAAACCATTACGGATCAGCAGAAGACCGCAATAGAACTGCACGGTTAATCTTCTCTCAGCATCGCCGACACTACTGTTGGCTAAGAGAGGCATCTGTAACTCTGATTACATTAAAAAAAGCCTCGTTACCAATAAAAAGTATCTTTGGATCTCGTCACCCATAAGAAACGGCACATTACATTGTGCTCCTTTAGTCCAGTAGTATATATTTAATAGTTTATATATCAATCAAGCTACATTGCTGTAACTTATTGAAAGATCGACAATGTTCATTTTTTTTATTGGATCGAGTGACAAACGAGCACACAGTCCACCTGATGGTAAGTGGTTGCTGTGGTCCATAGACATCTACATTTATCCTCAATAAAGAATCAAAAAGCAGATGCGTTGTCACTCGTGAGGACTAAGATGTAATGCCTCTTTTCCAGTAAAAAGGGTCTCCGGTTCTCTACACTCACCATACGAAACAGCAGCATTAAGCTGCTATTTTACGCTGGTATTCTGTGAGAGCGTGGTTCTTCCCCGGTCGAGCCGACCCATTCGTGCTACAACTTATAGCTGCAGCATAGCTCTACCACGTAAAATATGCTCCATATGCTCGTGTCATATGCTCCATAAATCTTAAATACCTAGGCGTCATTTTAGTTATTAAAATAAACTGGCTTAGTCATATAGATCTACAAACCTCTAGAGTAAAGAAGCTAATTTAGGCGTTTAAATATCTAAGGTATGTGGCTGATTTTGATGCACTTCGCGTAGTATATTACGCGCTTACTCAGTCAGTAATAAATTATTGTATTAGAGTTGGGGGTGGCACAGGTAAAATCTACATTTTGCGATTTGAAAGAGCTCAAAGATCGTTGATTAAAACGATGACTTTTAAGCCGTATGGATTCCCAACTAGAACACTCTATAGTAATTGTCAAGTTCTTATTGTTCGGCAGTTATACATTTTACAACTTATAAGCAGACAAAATCTTGCTACTGCGTACGACAAAGACAAAATAGAAGGAAAACGTAAAATAGTTAATGTCTTAACTCCGCACGTCCTTTGTCAGGCGTTAACATGGTTATCTTAGTGTACATTTGTATAACAAAATAAACAAAATTCTTAACCTTCATCCACTTCCACTTTACAAATTTAAAAACAATGTAGGAAATGGGTTTTATCATTAAATTATGAAGAAACGGAAGACTTGTTTAATGTTATATTGTAATCCTCTAGATGAATCCGTTATTTCATATATTTATAAGTACATATAAAACGTGGTAGAGCCATGCTGCAGCTATATTAATATTGTAGTTGTAGTACGAATGGGCCGGTTCACCCGCAGAAGGACCACGCTCTCACAGAATACCAGCGTAAAATAGCAGCTTAATGCTGCTGTGTTTCGTATAGTGAGTGTAGAGAACCGGAGACCCTTAATACTGGAAAAGAGGCATTCTATCTTAGTCCTCACGGGTGACAACATATCTGCCACACACACACACACACACACACACTTTGTTTACATAAATAGAGTACCCATAGAACATTCGGAACAGATCGGAACACGGGCTGCTGCCGCCTGCAGTCAGCTACGGTATTGTACCTTTATTGTTAATTTATTAGGTCATAAAATTGGGAGAGTGCGCTGATTGCTAAGATACAGGTATAATTCCTAGTTCAGCAGTCAGTGACTTCACATATTCGCTGTATAATTATCAATAAAGCTTGTTATTATTACGTGGGTTATCTATATTGTGTTCTCATCTGGTTGGGCTGTATAAATATATAATTATAAATGAAAATGAAAAACATACATAAATATCAATAAAATAAACTAAATACATAAATTATTATTAGGTATCTATAAAATTTTCTCATCTGGTTGGGCTGCATATCAATAAAATAAAATAAATAAATAAAAACCCAACCAGGTGGAAGCCCTCGGTAGGGGAGACTAAACGGCCGAGGGTTAGGGGGAAAGGGAAAGAAACCAGCGGACGATGCGGGTGGTATAGATTATTATTATTATTATTATTATAGTAGTCTGTGCAAGCGTGGTCCTTGCCCAGTCGAGCTTCCTTTTTACAGCGTAAATATTATAAAATAAAAAAACGACCATAGCGCCGTGCCGCGCCTTAACTAAACTTATTTATTGGGACCACAAGGGTCCATTTACACCCGTGCTAGTTTCTTGCCAGTTGCACACAGTACAGTTAAAGCAGTAATTAACATGCTAACCGTATAGTGACGGTGTAAGAATATCGTTCCCTGGGTGTCGTAAGCGGCGACAGAGAACTGAAAATAAAAAACACAGTAAATGGAACACAACGTTCAATATATAATTAAAATTTTGCGTCCGCATATTCGTGAAATACTTGAAGCATCTGAAGAAAATGGAAAAAGAGTCAAAACTTAAAAGAAATTTTTGAATTAAAAAGTCCGTAAACAAAATGAAATAAAAACTGGTCAAATCTTATGTACAAAAATAGCATTCAAGTAATATATATATTATACGGAATGTAAACAGTTACTCGTACAAACAATGAAATGTAAATAGTAGTTGTCGCGTTTGTGTACGCGGTATTGCCATTTATGATACAAGAAAGTTACACGGTGTAAATGAGGCATTAATGCTTCATTGCTTATTTGCATTCAAGTATATCATTTTTTTTTTTTGACAATGGCCCTAATCGTGTTTATTCAACTGCGTCTAAGGTCACCTCTATCACAAGATCGAACGCTATATTTCAACAGAACGTGCATAATTGTTATAAGAAACAGTAGTTTGTCAAAGAAGCACCTGTCTGATAGTAATTATGTTGTGGGTTTCGGTTTTAATATTTATATTTTTTTGTGGAACTACAAGCGGTTATTATGTTGCTAACGGTGAGTGGTTATCATTTTGCTAAAGTATTACCTTATTTTCTTTTTCTTAACTGTTGTGAGAGAATAAATTATTAACGTTAAACTAATTTACTAATTTACGAGTAGATATAGAATTATTTACTTCGCGGATTCTATCAATTATAATGTTTACTTCGTCATATTTTAGTAATTGTCGTTTTAATATGAAAATTAATGAAGTATCATCATCAAATAATGCTATATCATGGTACTCCCGCTATCTAGTCACCAAGTCTGTATTACAATAAAAATAAATTTTTAATAATAAACTTTACATTAAAAAGAAGTTTTCCGTGAGTGTGGTAAGAGGCGACAGAGGGAAACAATTCAGCTGCAATTATTATTCCTAATAACGTCTAGAAATCAAAAATTGCGGTTGCCAATCAGCTTGCAAAGCGTAGCAACTATGGCAATATTACACATATGAGGCAATCTATGGGGGAAGCTCATGTTCAGCAGTAGAATTTAGTAGATTATAACGGTAACGGTAATTATAAAATAAAATTTGAAAGAGTTATATGTGGTACCAATGCTGCAGCTATGTTCTAGTTGTAACACAAATGTGTCGGCTAGACCGGTGAAGGACCACGTACTAGCAGAATAAAAACAGCTTGACACTGCTATGTTCCGTATGGTAAGTGTAAGAAACTGTAGACCCTTTTAACTGAAACTGAAAACGAGGCATTCCAGCTGTGACCTCAGCGGTGATAACGCATCTGAATTTTCATTTATAAGCGAGTATAGATGTAAATGTCTATGGGTCACAGCATCCATTTACTATTAGGTGGTTGTGTGCTAGTTTGTCACCCCTTCGCTACTTAGTATAAAACAAAATCACTTCCCGCCGTCTGTACACATCGGATTTTGATGCAGTTCAAGAGGAAGGTGTATATAATACATGCATTATATACATCTTTATATATAAAAATTACGTGTCACATTGTTTGTTCGCGATGAACTGCTAAACCACTAAGCTGATTGCAAATTTTGCACACTGTGTGCAGTTTGGTCCAACTTGAGAGATAGGATAGTTTTATCCCTATAAGTGACCCTCAATATTTTTTATTACGAATTTAATAATTTTTATAGGACACAGAGTCGGCGGAGAGCCATGCCAGCTAGTATATTATATAATTTTCTGTCCGTGTGTATGTCACTGAACTCCTCCTAACATTTTTTGAGAATGATATTGATGAAATTTTGTGTGTGTGATTTAGTTGATTAGAGAAGGGTTTAGATTCACAATTGGACCCGGCAGGTGGCGTTGTTGTCGAGATCCAGAAATTGGATGGATCGTTAGTATTCTATAATATAAAAAAGAGTCTGCTATATTATTTTTATAGAATTATGTATCCCCCTAAATTTTAATATGTGCATCATGATGGGTTGACAAGAATACCTCTGTGTGAGTGGTCTTTTCACAACTATTAAGTTTTTATTGGTAAGAGACGAGCATCAAAGAGCCTTTTTACTTGTAACGAAGTAATGTAATTCCTGAAGTGACGACGCGTCAGCGTTTTAGTTCTTCATCGAGAATTTACGTAAGAGTCTGAGCCGTAACATCCACTTGCTAACTGGTTGTGGACTCTTGAATATCTTAATTGATTTGAATGCTTCGTTACTAATAAGAAAAGTTTCTTGTCACTCACCTGACAAATTATTGCAGAATTTTTGCAAATTGCTCTAGTATTCTTTTATAAGAGGGTAAACATGCGCTCGGTCAAGTTCAATGACCTTTTACCTTACCTTTTATCCGTAACAATTGCACAGTTTATTGACTTGTCACTTGCGTGGACTCTCTTACTGTTTATTCTACTTAGGGCGTGTGCAGTGTTGCTCAAGGGTAAGGATACAACAATACGTGAGTGTAATATGGTCATCCTTCTAATATGGTCACTTTTTTATAAGTCAAAACTACGGTCTTATTTGCATAGATAGCTTTGTGTTGCGATAGCTCTTCCTCAGTCATTCAAATAATAAAGGATCAAAAGAGCGCTGCTTTATCGATGCCATTTTCATAGTTGATATTATAGTAAATATTTTAATCGATTTTAGTAATGGATAGTGTACTTAGTTTTCTTTAAGTTGATTTTTCGAAGTGTTCCTAATTATTGCCAAGGCTTGTTTGTAATTTTTTTCTTAATATATTAGTTATAGTAAACGACTTTGTGTTTTTGTCTCTATCCTCCTCTCAGGTTTGGTTTTAAACTTAAGTTTAAACTTAAAGTGATCATATTATCCTCACGTACCTTATATGTCAAGATTTTTCCTGACATGTCAGACTTTTGGGCTCTTGTCAGGATTGAGGTTGCATATAGTGAATGTCAGAATTTTTGATTTTTGGACAGAATTATAGTGCCCAAGTGTATAAGCAAGCACAACTCTAGATCGATGTCACAGTAATCCGACACGAGCACACAGTCCACCTAATGGTAAGTGGATGCTGTGAACCACAAACATCTACATTTATCCTCGATTAACAATCCAAATGCTGATGCGTTGTCACCCTTGAGGACGAAGAAGGAATGCCGCGTTTCCAGTAAAAAGGATTTCGGGCTATCTACACTTACCATAAGAAACACAACAAGTATTAAGCTGATATTTTATGCTCGTATTCTGCGAGAGCGTGGTCCTACCCCGGTCGAGCGACCGATTCGTGCCAAAACCTGAGCGTGGCTGCCTCGTATAGAGCTATTTACTGCCATCTATTGAGTAGCCTGTATGTGTACTTCTTCATTAGCAAGTCCACAGTCTTGTCAATGGCCCAATGAACAAGAGCTTCTCCCATTAAATGTAGTTTCCCTTAATCGTCACCCTTGGTAGGTGGATTGACGGTTGTAGTACCAGATGTGAGCACATAGACTCTGCTGGATATTTTAAGTATAGCGTAAACGAGGTATATAAGCCGCTATCTATCAGAAGACATTTTCTGGTGTTTCCCACAATTGCCTCTTACGACACCCTCGGAACGTATGGGGTAATAGATGTTCTTACGGCATATCTCGAATAGTCCAGATTTTCTTGCTGGTTCCTCATAAGACAGAGGTATTTTTCACTGTTGGTAAATTAAACATAAGAATGACAGTTCATGTCATTCTTAATATATTATTATTTATAATATACACTATGTCACTTTTAATATAGTATAATTTATAATATACACTATCTCATATCGACACGAGGGTGTCGTAAGAGGCGACAGAAGGAAAATGAAACAGGATGTGGGCAGCAGCATCTTCCTAATAACAAATCAAAACTATAAAATACTGCGGTTGCTAACTGGCTTGCCACCAGGAGCAACTAAGGTAAATCCCCCCATGAGGCAATCTATGAGTGAGCCCTATATTCAGCAACGGACTTTTATAGGCTGTAATGGATGGATGGATAATCTATAATGAATAAAAAAGTTATTGTTTCTGCTTCTATAAACGTAATTAAATAATATATTGGTTTTTAATAGCGAACCTATTTACATTAATTTGGTGTTATTTAAGTTTCAAAATTGATTATCTTTATAACATTTTATTCAACAAATTTAAACGAATAAATAGTTAATTAAACGAGATAATTCTAAAGTCGACGTTAACGTTGAAGCATGTAATTTGCATTAATATCTACGCATAATTAACTTCGAAACTCAACATTAATTTTTGATTAGATAAATAATGTTGCTAACATAATCTATTTACTTAAATAATTTTAAGCTAATTAAATGTAAGGCTGTCTAGTTCATTCCATTTTCAGAAGGTCGCACCTAGGGTTGCGAAATTATCAAAAAGAAAAATTTGTATTAGTACTTGCCTATTGTCTGTAATATTATATCACCAAAGAAATAAAGACTGCTTTCATTTAAAAATCATGCCGAAACCGTTCCCAATTTTTTGACACGAACACACGAACACATCTTTCTCTTTTTTTCTTTAACAGTTCGTAAAATGCTGGACGCACACATATGAACCTCACGTTGTTGGTGGAATAGAGCCTTGTTTTCTCTTATTTTCAACGTTACTTAAAATGTACCCAGCGCTTCGTCTCTTTTTGTCTAAACCTATAGATAAGCCTAATGTAGCAGATATAAAAATATGAAAAATAACATATATAATATGTTTTGCTTCTTTGCCTTTATTAAAATATAGTAGTTTCGCCTATGTATCTTGGTTGAATTATAGTATTCGGCCGCTAATATAGTAGCATAGGATAATATATTATATGAAAGGTTTGACAACCCTAATCACATCTAGTAAATACATATAAGCGTGCCTTAAGGCTTCATAATAAGTAAAGATGAGGCCATAACGTACCGGCGGGTTTTTGCCAGTTTGATTCCTCAAATCGTGGTTTTTCTGCTATATTGGCCATTACCAAAGTTCTTTTTTTATAACAAACAATAAAAGTGTGACTGTTGAACATAGATCACCCTCATAAATTATCTCATTGGAAGGATTGTGCCATAGCTGCTACGCTTAGCAGGTGGTTTTGCAATCACAGTTTTTTTATAATGTAGAATTATTATCAGGTAGATATATTGAGTCGCCTGTAGCCAATACCTGAGCTTGTTCATCAGATCGTCGCCAACACTTTCCTTTGTGCTACATGACTGGCCCTTTGCTGACTCTGCGGATATCCTTATTACGGATTTTATCACACAAACAAATTCCGAACATAGGTCTTAACATCGCTCACTAAGTGACTTAAAACTTCCTTATACGGCCACCAGTGATACACGTGTCGGGCCACCAACTTTATTGAGTACTAGCTGTGTTCGCGACTTCTTTCGCGTGGAATTAGCACTTATATTAAGATAAGTGATGATTATATATTTGTATTTTTTATGCCACGAAGAACAAGGGTCCAGATTGGTATCTATAGATACTAGATAAAAACATTCAGTTACTCAGTCAAACAGACAAACTGAGCTAACTAATAGACGGACCAAAAAAGAAAAACCCACAAACGGACCAAGCAATGAATTGGGCAAACCATACGCTTGTGTATTATATTCTAAATAAACAACAAAATGACCGTAATAACATAATCCACAACGATAGATAAATAGATAAATTTATCTAACCAAAAATTGGTCTCCATACAACAGATAAAAGATTGCCCTAAATAAGCAAGCTTCATCACCAATTAGGTATTGGTTCTACGGTAAGGTACATCATTGCCATTAATATTTAAAATAAAGGACCCTAAACTAAGTACCTAAGCTGCTGTGCCTAATTACACAACATAATACATCCATTTTCAACCGACTTCCAAATCGAGGAGGTACTCAATTCGACTGTATGTTTTTTTGTGTGTTACCTCATAATTTTTTTCTCAGTGAAACGATTTTGATGATTTTTTTTTATTTGAAAGCTGGTGCTTTTCACGTGGTCTCATAAATTTGATCAAGGTCTGATCAGCAGTTCTTGAGTTGTCCTTAATCATTTATATTGAAGTCAGTTGTACAAAATTATTAATTTTACCACTTGTTGTATGTAACTTTTAATAAAAAACGAAATAAAAACGAAATTCTCTATAAACTGTAGTAAAACATTGAAACAACAAACAACATAACAAAAGACTTTATTATTATTATTATAACATAGGGTACGTTTTATTGTAGCTAATTCATTAGGAAGTAGAAAATTTCTTTAAGATATTTAACTAGAAGTCAATAAACGATGCTGGCAGACTATTAAAAATTCTTTGCAATTCTTGGTTGCGACAAGACATAGCCAAAATACACGAACCTTGCGGGAACTCACGCACCAGCCCTTTTCTGGAACAAAAAAAAACATTGTTTTAATAGAATAATAATATTATAATAATATTTATAAAACAAAAATTAAACGTGGTAGAGCTATATTGTTTTATAGTTGTAGCACGAATGGTTCGGCTCGACTGGGGCAGGCCCACGCTCTCTCAGAATAACAGCGTAAAATAGCAGCTTAGTGCTGCTGTGTTTCGTGATAGATGTAGAGAACCGGGGACCTTTTTTACTGGAAAAGAAGCATTCCATCTCACGGCTGAACACGCGTCTGTATTTTGATTCGCAAACGAGGAGAGATGTAAATGCCTAACCACTTACCATCAGGTGAACTGTCATCCTCACTTGTCCCCTTATTCTATAAAAAAAAAACACAATGCTTGTTCCTTTTCTTTGTAATCACCCCATAAAGGTTTGCTGTTGGAAATGTATGTCTCTTTATTGTGCTTTTTCTTCCTTACATTTCACAAAATGTAGTAATATAGTAGGATAGAGTCCGCCCCGTTACTTTAGAGTGTGTTTTAAATCAGTTTCCTAAATTGCGAATTACACATTCATTGGTATTGGCGAGTAATACACAGTTTACGATCATATATTTAAGCAGCGTGACTAAAAGCATCATACGTGGTAGAGCCATTCTGCAGCTATATTATGGTTGTAGCATGCTCGACCGGGAAGTGATCAGGCTCTCACACAATACCAGCGTAAAATAGCTGATTACTGCTGTGCTTCGTAAGGTGAGTGTAAAGAAACGGAGATCCTTTTTACTGGAAACGATGCATTACATTTCAGTCCTCGGAGCTGACAACGCATTAGCATTTTGATACTTAGTCGAGGATAGATGCGGATATATATAGATCACAGTATGCAATTCACCATCAGGTAGACTGTGTGCTCGCTCGTCACCCTTATTATATAAAAAAAAAACAATATTTTATTGATCTTGAGATAATTATTATTATTATATCGATATAGTCTTAAGTTACTCGGACTGGCGATGAAGTGCCTTGTCAAAGATGCAAGCCGTTTGATACAGTGATATACAATCTATTAACCAAGTATGGCAAACGCGCAACTAGTAATAGTGCCTAAGAGTTGTTAGTGACTACCGGCCGGCTATTGACAACTGCAACCAGTGTCTCCATGTACACCGTAATTTAGTCTTAACCTACCGTCAAAGTAATATGGCATTACCGTGTCATATGTCACCGTAATACCATCGTATACCGTAATGTGCTCAAATGCCGAGTGCGAGCACATTTTCAGCCAAGTCAAGGATATATAAACGAAAAAAAAAACTTTTAACCAAAACACTGAAAGGAAATATTGTTCACCCAATAATCAATGAAGAAAAAATAGCAAAAACTGTGTTGATTTCAGGCCTACTAACGATATGTTAACTACCATTTAAGAAAATATATCGTCATGCTAGGAGAGTCAGATTCAGAATAATATTGTTTTATTTGAAAAAAAATCTTAGTAATTAATTAAAAGCCAATATATTTGGACTTGATTTTGTTTATAATGTGGTAATTTTCTACGAAAAGTTACACGGTAATTTACACCGTACACTTATAGTAAATTTACCGTAATTTTATTTAGAAATATCGTATTTATACGGTAACTCTCGATTTCCATATGGAGACACTGACTGCAACACAAGAGGAATGCAGGTGCGTTGCTGGCCTTTTAAATAAGAGTAGGCTCTAAGTAGTATCGGTCCGCCACATATACAAACATTAACTACTAAATTGTCCTGGATTACGTACGCTTTAAGGGAGCTGAAGAAATCAACAGTCGCAAATATCGCTGTTAAGGCGTGTTACACTTATACTCACGCATGGCTAAGCGACGGCGTTATGTTATGGTACAATTGTGCGCATGCCCGAGTACTGCTTATTCTATAGAAAAAATGTATAAGGATACTTACTAACAGTGAACAAACAGACAGATGTAAGCCGCGCTTTAGAATTTTAAAGATTTTAACATTAACTTGTATTTACATATTAAAAATTTATAAATTAGTAAGAAAGTACTCAAATTCGTATACAAGTCTACGTCTAGGAGATATATGCTACGTCTCTACGAATCACGAAAAACAACTTGCTTAACTAGAAATCTTATTTAGTACGAGTATCAAATAGCTCCGGTCCCTATTCAATGTCTTTGAAGGTGTCATAACTAACTAGGCTTATATAAAAGAAGAAAATAAGTTTGGTTACTTCCTAAATGGAGGACAATATATAGTTACAATATCATATGTAATGCAATTAGTAAATAAATAAATAAATAATAAAAACGTACCTGCAATAGCACCCAGCCCTACAATGCGGCAATCGTTTGGGGATAGACTTCACTCTCATTTTCTTCTTCTCGTCCTCATAGCAGGTGTACTCCTCATAGAAGGTACAGGATTTGTGAACCTCATCATGAGGACACACGTTCTCTGTTTGGAATAATCAACTAAATTTATCCACCCTATAACCTGAAGAGCCTACAACCGGTGGGTAAGAAAGGTTCTCGAGTGGCAGCCTCATACCGGTAGGCGAAGTTTACGGCGGCCCCCCCTCTGGACCTGGTAAGACATTCAGGCATTCTTTGGGGCAGGCCTATGTTCAGCAATGAACTTGTGAAGGGCTGTAATTAATGACTGAATAAAGAATCCGCCTTAAATGTTTGTTAAAGGAAACGTTCTGTTTTATAAAATAAAAGTTTCAACCTATAAAAATTCACCAAAGTGGTGCCTAAACCTGCAACTAACTTCAAGTAATGAAAGCTGGAACAATAGTTAATGTGTTGTTGCATAAAGGGTCTTTTAAAAATAGAAAATTCGTTCCGTCACACTGGCGCCCCAACGTGTGACTCGAAAGAAACCTGTTCTTGGCATAGTCAAACCAATTGATTTTGTAAATATTAGAAAAAAAACTGTACATATAGCGAGCTATAGCTAACAGTAAATAATTTAAAATTATTTACTATCAATAATTTAAAATTAAACTATTAAGTTTTAGTTTTAAGATTATGGTGTAAGTAGATACCACCCTCTTACATATATCTGCGTAAAGTTGTAGTTACCATACCTACATCCAAGTAGTTTTATTTTAATATTACTGATCTGTAGGCACTTTAACCGTACAGAAGTTTAACAATTTTTAATGTAGTAAAGGCATTTTGATTAGTAATCGAGGATAGATGTAGATGTGTATGGGCAATAGCAACCACTTGCCATGAGGTGAACTGTGTGATGGTTTGTCACCCTTATCTTATAAAAAAATCATTATTTCCTATTCTGTGGCCACGAACTGCAGAAGGTTGCGAACCAAACTCCATAGCGGCTGTGAAGTTGTCGCAAGGCGTTACAAGTTAGTAAATTTTGCTGCACACGTATGCGCGCTTCTGCTCAAGTACATCATCATCATCATTAAAGCCATCCATTAGTCCACTGCTGGACATAGGCCTCCCCCAAGGAATGCCACAAAGGACGGTCCTGAGCCACCTACACGCATAGACTTCCTGCATGTCTTACCAGGTCGTCACTCCATCTAGTGGGGGTTCGCCCTACACTTCGCCTACCGGTACGAGGCTGCCACTCGACAACCTTTCTTCCGCATCGGTTGTCAGTTCTTCGAGCTATATGGCCGACCCATTGATACTGCAGCTTACTAATCCGTTGGACTATGTCGGTTACTCTGGTTCTACTACGGATATCCTCATTTCTAAGTTTATCACGCAGAAAAAATCCAACCATAGCCCTCTCCATAGCTCGCTGAGCGACCTGGAGCTTCCTCATCCGTCCAGCAGTGAAGGACCACTTCTCAGTTCAATAGGTCATCACTGGCAACACGCATTGGTTGTACAGCCTCGTTTTCAAGTTTTGAGGTATACCTGACGAGAAGATGTGTCGTAATTTTCTGAACGCTGCCCAGCTGAGTTGAATCCGTCGATTGACCTCTCAGTCGAAGTTGGACTTACCTAATCGGACTATTTGTCCCATGTAAACATAGGTACTCGTCAACAACTTCGATGCTCAAGTTCAGTCGAGTTAAATTATATTATTATTAACATAGTTAATATTTTTTTAGTATTAATATTTGTTTTTGATCGTTACTCATATATTTTGCCTCTTTTAATACATATTTTGTATATGTATATGTATATAACATATATTTTTTAAAACGTGACACTAGGATCTATACTATATCGTGGAGAAGTTTGTGTACATTGCAAAACGACAAACAGCCAGATACACATACACATACAGAACACTTGCTTACTGCATGATTTCAACCCGTGAGCCGCAGCGCCGCACCCAAACCCCCACTGCGCTACCGAGTCGCTGATATTAAAAATAGGCACAGAGACTTATGCCCAAATATTCAAACGCTGCTCAATTTTAAGATGCCGTTAAGTGTCGTGTTGTCTCTATCACTTTAAGTCAAAGTGACTGTGACACCACGAGACTTAACGCCATCTTAAAAGTGTATATCTCAAGTTAACATTTATATATACGTTTATATATATATATATAAATACAATTACAATATTAAAATTTGACGTGGTAGAGCCAAGGTGCAGCTATATTATGGTTGTAGCACGAATGGGTCGGCTCGACCGGTGTAGGACCACGTTCTCACAGAATACCAAAGTATAATAGTAGCTTAATAATGAGTGTAAAGAACGGGAGACCTTTTTTACTGGAAACGAAGCATTCCATCTCAGTTCGCAGAGGCGACGACGCATCTGTATCTTGATGCTTAATTGACTATAAATGTAGATGTCTATGAGTCACAGCATCCACTTTCCATCAGGTAGGCTGTGTGCTCGTTTGTCACACTTGTTCTATTAAAAAAAAAACAATTAAATAACTAACATAATATATACTTTGGTTTAAAACAAAAACTAAATATTTATTTGTGAGACAAAGAATTAAATAAAAATTATTTTTATAAACCTACTTACTTAGCATGTAACAACTCAGTTTCCTCATCGACAAATAAAAAAGCAACAAAACGATTACGCCCCTCATTTCTATTCAAATTTTGAAATACTAGCAGAGTGATAGTAAGTCGAGCGTACCAAATTACGTTCCAATCATAATTAATCGATCATTAACTGCCGCGTGTTGGCATGTAATTAGATTTGAAGAAAATATGAAAAAAGTATACATTCTTTATATATTACTTTTAATAGGCATAGCGCACACAGTCCACCTTAAGGTTAGTGTATGCTGTTGCTCGTAGACATCTATATCTTTCGAAAAAGGTCTCCGGTTCTTTACTAGCGATCCGCCCCGGCTTCGTAATTTCTGGTTCTCGACAACAGCGCCATCTACCGGATTCAATTGTGAATCTAAACTATCCAAGGTCTCGCTCAAACACTCACAAAAATTTCATCAAAATCGGTCGAAACATTTTCGAGTCTTCGCGAGACTAACCCACGAAAATTAATTTTTATATAATAGCTAATACCTATGAAATTGCTATTCGGAAATACTGGCCATTTCAAATGAAAATAATTTTTGTTGCTGTAAAGTTCTCAAGATATCGCGAATCAAAATAGTTAAATTTAAATGGGATAAAAACCGTAAAATTAGTTCTAACCGATAATTATTTATATTCTTGCAGACGAATGTCCAAACAACGAGGAGTACCTCACTTGCGGGTCAGCATGTCCCTTAAACTGCACCAACCAGGAACCAGTTGCCTGCACGAAGAATTGCGTTGCAGGTTGTTTTTGCAAGCCGGGTTTCCTGCGGAATAAGTATGGTGCATGTGTACTAGTTGAAGAATGTTTCGGTAAGAATATGCAGAAAATATTGGCCTAGTATCTTCTTCTTATGTGTTATATATTATGGGCTTTCCCATAGTATTTTATTTATAAAACTGAAATACAATACTAACCTAAAGTCCGCCTAATGGTAAGTGGCTACTGCAGCCCATGTACACTTGCAACCAACTTTATACAACGAAGATAACGGATGCGTTATGCCTGTAATTATACTGGCTATATACCCTTAAACACAGCAGTGCAAGCAGTGCTGCTATTTGATTGCAGTTATAAGTAAGAGTGTTGTACCTACCCAGACGGAGTCCTAGGCAGAAAAGAAAACCTACCACCTAGAAAACTTAAACTTGTAACAAGTATATGCCATAATCCTTTGGTGGTTTGATGGCAGCACTGTCTCGTACCTGAGACAGTGCGAGACAGTGCTCGAGTCGTTGATGTAAGTACATAGTTGATCTAAGTCAAGAGAGTCGGCGAGCAATACCAAGTCGGACTGCCGTGGAGGGACGATGACGTCAGGATGCCACCAAGGTACGAGATGGCAGCTCGAAGACTCCGAACCATCGAACGGAGGATGGATCAGTCGCCCTGTGAATATAAAAACAAGATGGTATACTGCCATTTACTGATGGTCTTGAGATCTTACTCACTTTTTTTTATAGAATTGGGTGACAAACGAGCACACAGTCCACCTGATGGTAAGTGGTTACTGTGGCCCATAGACATCTACATCTATTATCGGTTGCGAATTAAAATGCAGATGCGTTTTCAGCCGTGAGGACTGAGATAGAATGCCTCTTTTCCTGTAAAATGGGTCTCCGGTTCTCTACACTCACCATACGAAACACAACAGCATTAAGCTGCTATTTTACGCTGGTATTCTGTGAGAGCGTGGTCCTTCCCCGGTCGAGTCGACCAATTCGTGCTACAACTATAATATTAATATAGCTGCAGCATGGCTCTACCACGTAAAGAAGCCACTTACTGTAGCCATGGAAAAAAAATCACCACACTTAATCGCCATGTTAGGCTCGCGAATTAACGATCGCAAAACCAGATGTATTACACCTTTGACGCTGGTCCCATCAAAGAATGAGGAGCGCAGTGGTAGATATAAGGGTTTATCGGGTGTCCAACGTAGTAACGGATCATTACTGATTCTTATTTCGAATTAATGGTCTATTCAGACGTTGGCGGTATCGGACATCTGTGTCTACCACTGCGTTACAACGTATAAGAACAGAGAAGTTACAAAGATTAAAGTGTGAAATAGAAGTACATATATAGACTGCGAGAAAATGTAAGTGGTTTGGATGAATTGTGTATGATTGATTTAGACTTGGAGACTGTGTGGCTTAATGTTAAGAAAGGTTTGGTGGATTCAGCTACCGAAGTATGTGGTGTAAGTAAGATAAATAATAAAAGGAAAAATAATACGTTGTGTTGGGATGATGAGGTTCGGATGGAAGATGGCTTGATTTACTAGCAACCAAAGCTGGTAATTCTGACGGTATGAATAATGATATTAAAATAAAAAAGGCAGTCTTTAGACCTCTAAATGAGAGAGCAGAAGAAGTAGTTGAATGAAAAAACAGTGAGAGGACACAGTGAGATATTTTGTGATAAGTGAAGAGTGTGGTGTGTAAGATGATGATGTGACCAGGATTAAGAAAGGAATGCTTCGGTGATTTGGTCACGTAGAAAGAAGGAATGAAGAAAGATTGACAAAGCAAATTTATGTTGCAGAAGTTAACAGCAGAGTACCCTTAACCGACGAGCATGTATGAGTAGGTATATGGATGTGGAGGAAGCGAGAGAGATAAGACAGGATCGTGCCGAATGGAAGTTCGTAATCTCTAATAATGTATGAGTGAACAATTCTGTAATCCTACTATATTATTACGACCCAGGCATCCTGGTAAATTTCACCAAATTATTATCGCTTTGAAATACTAATTCTGTGGGGTATGATAAGTTACCGACAAAAATATTAAAACTAAGTACTATAAATATAGCGCCAATACTGAGTCATACAATAAACTTATCTTTTGCCCAAGAAGTTTTTCCTGCAGAAATCAAATATTCATTTCTGAAACCCATTTTCAAAAAAGGCGATTCTAAAGATATTAATAATACAGACCTGTTGCAATAGTGCCCAGTTTATGGAAGAGCAATACTTAAAAGACTTAATAATTTTATGGAAAAAATGAATATTATTAATAACCCACAAAATGGTTTTGTAAAAAATAAATCCACATTCTTCTTCCAATTCGTAAAGTTTATTACAAAATGCGTTTATAACTGTGCACTGGTGGGAGCTCGTTTTTGGATATGATTAAAGAATTTGACTTTGTTTATCACGCAATACTTCTCAATAAACTCGACAAATATGGAATGCGTGGGAAAGCAAATAATTGGTTTAATAGTTACCTGAGTTAAAGAAAATAATGCACTGAAATAACAAAGCTCAAAAACCTTAAAAATGTGCGTATCTAGTCTGAAAACAAATATATTGTACCACAAGGAAGTATTCTGGGACCTCTACTCTTTCTAATATATTTACATATATATATCGACGAATCTTTTCGCAGATGATGCAACGGTTATTTTTAAATTTACGAATATTAGGCTTTTTGGATTTGACATTAATATTACAACCTATTGTGCCAATTGTACCTTTAAATCATTTGTTTTTTTCTCTCATATGTATATCTGGTGTACAATAAATTATATTTTCATTCATTCACTATATTTTACAGATATAATTGATTGGTAATGTTTAATTACTAAATAAAAATAATACTATATTAATATGAATAATACTATAATGCAATTTTACACAATTAGAAGTAAGTAAAATAATTTAAATATAAGATTTCCATTTGTCCACTCAGTATCTGCCTATTTCTATAAAATCACTTATCCGATTTTCTTTCAAATAAGTATTCACCATTATAGTTCTCTCTAACTTAACTAAATTTTCTAATGTATCAGGGTATATAAGATCCTCTAATTTACTATTTTTTAAGTAAAAATTTACTTTATTAAATTAATTATTAATTAAACCTTTTAGACTCTATTACAGACTAATGTAAGATTCCTACTCTACTCAAAGCTGAAGTGGTTTCTATCTCATTCAATTTGATAACAATAGCCTGAAAGTTATGAATCAATAAGTTATATGTATTTATAATCCGTTTCTCAATATGATTAAAATGTTCTCTTTCGAGAATATTGCTTAACTTTTGTGATATTGTTATATCTTTATTAATTTGGATTAGATTGTCATTTTATTTCATTGTAGAGCTTGTACTATTTCTGTGATCAGCATCAACCTGTTGTTATGTATGTACTGTTTAACTTTTACTTCTGTATTTTATTTATCGTATCTACTGACATCATTATTATTGAGATTTCCAGTGATTACCTTAATTAATGAACCATGGGTGGGTTATGCATCGTCTTGCTACTTTATATAGGCATACGTCTGAACTCATAGTGTCCTGACTGGGTACTAAAAGTTGCTTTCTGTCCATCCTTTTCAGATACTTCTATCTGATGACACCCACTATCTAAGTCAAGTGTGGTAAAATAACAACTACATCCTAATTTCTTAAACAAGTCGGTTATGTTAGGCAAGGGGTATTATTTGTCATCTATTGTAATTTCGTTAAGTCGCCTATAATCAATAACAGATCTGTATTTCTTTTTGTTACTTGCATCGGCTTTTTATCGGAATTAGTTGTACTGGTGCACTCCAGGGTGAAAAGGATGGTCGAGCTATGTCATTTTCGAGCATTTATTCTACCTATTTATTCATTTCGTCATTTGCAACATGTGGCTGTCTATAGCATCGAATTAAAATTAGGTATTCATAATGAGAATTCAGAAGATTCCAGAATTTGTTGCTTAACGTCATTTGTAAACAGAGTAAATGAATACTATCTCGTTCTACTTGGTTCATGTTGTGTAACCGTAATTTACTTAAATTCTCAGTTAAAGTTTTGTCTACTTCGATATCGTTTTTCTTCCGTAAATTATTAACTACAAAATTATTTATTTTGTATTACTGTTGTCGCGTAAGTAACCGTTCTCGCATTTAACAAGATTCGGAATTCTAACGCCATTACATTTGAGGTAATTTAATATTATAACTTCTCCGTTTAACAAATTGGTTGGTAATCTAACTATTTGTTCGCATCGTGGGGTTATTTGAATTTAATTTGTTGGACCACAAATTATGGGTATACTTGTGGAATTTGCCTGTAATATTTGGTTTTTTATATCTATTTTGGAATCTTATTGTACTCGTAAATCGCTTCCTATAATTCCGTCATAACGGACGTCTACATTGCATACGAGTATATAAAACTTATGTATCTGATCACTATTGAAAGTTGGAATAGGTTTACCATTATTAATTTATCGTGTAAACTAGATGCATGTGTACTGATAACTTCGAATGGTTCGTAACGTTTAAAGGTTAAAAAAATCTTGAATATTATTTATTCTCTATTTCAATTTATGATCAGTTGAGTTAGGCCAGTTACTCTGGTTTTACTGCGCATATCCTCATTACGAATTACATCAAAACTCCGAGCATAGCTCCCTCCATAGCTCGATGCACAAATCATTGTGATTAGTCTTTAATGTTAAAAGTATTTTATTAGAGAAGTTTCTTTTGCAATTGTTAAGTTTTGTTGTTTGGGAATTTAGGTACAATTCACGCAAAAACTTATTTTTATTTAATTAGAGAACGACTATGTCTGCGGAGAAAACGAAGAGTATAAGTCATGCGGCAGTGCTTGTCCTCGAACGTGCTCCCAACCTGAACCTGAGGCTTGCATTCAAGTTTGTAAAGAGGGATGCTTCTGCAAATCAGGATACTGCAGAGACGGAAGTACCAACAAGTGTATCAAGGAGGATGAATTTCCTAAAAGTAAGTACTTACAGGATATTCCATTTTGTATTTATCGTATTTGATTTGACAAAAAAAGACAATTTTTTAGAAGCTATTTCCACATACACACACAACACGATAGTGGTTACTTGTTAAAAAAGTGTTTTCGAATTTTAGTAATTTGGTTTTGGACAAGTTGCCCTTCGTGAGCGCCAACACCTGCCCAACTGCCGCTCATGCAGACGTAATATAAGTATAAGGCATCACCACCAATTGCATGGTCCGCACGGCTTCTAGTCGCAGAGCGTGTCTTGAGTTTACCGTTCACCTCAAGGGAATGGAGTCCCACGTTAGGCAGCTTTCGGTCGCATCCTCTAGAGTATCCTCCCTTCAGCTACCACCCGCATGAGGTCGACACATATGCTATTTTTTATAGGATAAGGGTGACAAACGAGCACACAGTCCACCTGATGGTAAGTGGTTGCTGTGGCCCATAGACATCTACATCTATCCTCCGTTAAAAATCAGAATGTAGATACGTTGTCACCCGTGAGGACTATTACTACTAATGAGTATGATACGGTATCAACATCAATGGCAAGTACATCACTCACCTTCGATTTGCCGACGATATAGTCCTTATGGCAGAATCGCTGGAGGACCTAAGCACTATGCTCAATGACCTCAATAGTGCTTCCCAACGAATAGGTCTTAAGATGAACATGGACAAAACAAAGATCATGTTTGATGTCCATGTCACACCTATGCCGGTAGTTGTTGGGAGCACTAAGCTCGAAGTTGTTGACGAGTATGTTTACCTGGGACAAATAGTCCGACTAGGTAAGTCCAACTTCGACCGAGAGGTCAATCGACGGATTCAATGCGGTTGGGCAGCGTACGGGAAATTACGGCACATCTTCTCGTCAGGTATACCTCAAAACTTGAAAACGAGACTGTACAACCAGTACGTGTTGCCAGTGATGACGTACGAAACTGAGACGTGGTCCTTCACTGCTGGCCGGATGAGGAAGCTCAAGGTTGCTCAGCGAGCTATACAGAGGGTTATGCTCGGAGTTTATCTGCGTGATAAACTCAAAAATTAGGATATCCGCAGTAGAACCAGAGTGACCGACATAGCCCAACGGATTAGTAAGCTGAAGTGGCAATGGGCCGGCCATATAGCTCGATGAACCGACAACCGATGGGAAAAAAAGGTTTTCGAGTGGCAGCCTCGTACCGGCAGGCGAAGTGTTGGACGTTCTCCCACTAGATGGAGTGACGACCTGGTAAGATATGCAGGAAGTCGATGGATGCAGGTGGCTCAGGACCGTGCTTTGTGGCATTACTTGGGGGAGGCCTATATTCAACAGTGAGCTTGTGAAGGGCTGTAATGATGATGATAATGATGATATGCGGACTACCGAACCAGACAGGTATTTCGTACAGGTTACCTCCCTGTGTGGCCCTGTGTGGTGAAATCTGTATCGTCATATTGTACACCTGATTACGAGTCCCAAGGTGTCGACGAATATAAATGTGTAAGTCAGCTGATTGGCATCTGTTCCTCTTCTTCGGATACATTGAGCTGCGCAGAAGTAATAACCAATGTATTGCGTCAAGCTATGGAGTATATTATCACCCTTTTTTGACGTCCCCACCGGTAGCAAACCTTACCTATGGCTTATCGCTGGATGCGGCCAAATTAAAAAGTACAAGTACTTAAACGTTTTTGTCCTGGGTTGACGCTCGGGACCGCAAAATATCAGCTCCGAGAAGAGAGCTTTCAACCAGGCCACCAAGTCCTTCAAAATTAACGTTAACCCAGTCTCAATCGATTTAAACATATTGGTACAAAACTCTCTGTGAGACCATACGGCACTAGAGCTTTTTGGTCCATTGCCAAAGCGGTCAAGACAAACTTATGTCGGACTACACTGCCTCTGCTGGTAAAGTCCTATTCTTCCTATAAGTATCCATCCCTTTATGTCAAAAGTTCTGGAAAGAATAGTCAGTACACAGATGGCGGAGTACCTTGAGGCTGATAATACCCTGTCTAAAAAGCAATCCGTATTCATAAAGTCTCGTAGCACTGCAACCGCTCTGATGGATGTAATTTGTTAGTTTTGTATGACTTTTACGAAGCTTTTGATCTCTTACCAAAACTGATAATTTAACAATAAAGTGGTTTGCAAGTTACCACTGGTCGTATAAAATTTGTTAAAATAATTAAAGACGATGAATCTGAACGGATACCTACCACATTGCCAGTTCCAAGAGGTCTACCTCAAGGATCTATTTTGGGGCTTATACTTTTTATAATGTATTGATCAGATATAGTGAACACCATAAAAACTGTAAATCATATATATGCTGAAGACCTTCCATTGTACATGTCTTTTAAATCCAGTGACACTAATATAGCATTAACAAAAATCAATTCGGATTTGGACCACATAGCCGATTGGTGTGATCAAAATAATCTAGTATTGAACTCCATTAAATCTAAGTATAAGTTACTAGGAACGTATAACGAAATAAATACAATTCTAACATTCAAACCGCAAATTAACATCAAGAGTAATCCTTTAGAACATGTATTGGGAGCTCGGAACTTAGATCTCGTTATGAATGGAAGGTTGCGTATAGAGGGTCATGTACAAGAAACCATGCGTAACTGTTTCTATAGACTCAAAGTCTTGTACTAGATCAGAGAGTATTTGACTTACTGACTGACTGACTGTATTTGATTAGGTTATGTGAAGATTCTGTCGAAGCTAACTTATGCGGATACAGTATTTGGTGAATGTTTGCTCGCTAGAAACAAAAGATTAATTTTTTTTTTAATTTTTATTATTTTTATAAATTAAATTTCAAATCGCCTGCGCACGTATCTGATTCACAGCTCTTTAGAGATCATACGATCGCTCGACGGAACCTCCACCTTGCGTCATTGCTTTTTGGAGTGGTAATTACCGGGGAACCATCATACTTGTTCCAAAAGCTCATTCGCTGCCTTCTGTGGCAGTTTTCGTTTTGCTGCTACGAAGTGCTGGAATGACATTCCAGCACCGATCAGAAATAGTAAATCATTAGCCACTTTTAAAACTTTATTATAAAAGTCTTTGATTTCAGTACGAAAATTCGGCAAATAGGCATAAATGGTATGGTTCACACACTCTCGATGCTAGCACGGTATAAAAAAAACACTTTTCAAAGCACATACTGAGTCATGATTAATACGACTATACAAATCTTTACAATCTTTATATCGATCATGCAGATTTAATAAACTAGGACAACCTTTATCTTCTAAATTAATTATATTATCATTTTGTAAAAATTTTAACCATAAAACTTTTTCTAAACCTTTGACGTATATACATTTATCCTTTATATTATCTGCAATCAAATTCTGATAATTTAAATAAGGTGTTACTCCCTCACACCAATGTATCTTTCTATTACGTTGAATCCAATTTACTTGTTTTCTTTCTTTTACAGTCAATTTGTAAAAAGGAAATGGTAGTTTAATTAAAAGTCGTTGTATTTTATTATCACACAATATTGCAATTTCTTTCACTATGAATTCATTTTTTTCTGTTTTGGAACCTTGGACATCTACGATAGCAGTCATGTCGAATTGCGCACTATGTTATTTAAAGGCTTATATTCCACAAGTTGATCGTTAATGATTAAACAATATCCAGTTGTCTTCTCTGGTATTGCCGTTGTACATTCAATCTCGAAACGAACATCTACGGGTCCCGTTTTTAGACTGTCGTTTTGTCTTGAACAATTTATCTGTACAATTCACCTCTGTTATGTATATGTATGTACGTATGTATGTTACCTTTTGTTATCTATACACTCTCAATGTAGCACTGGTACATTTTGACAGATTTGTTCCTTTTATTTTATATTTTTGTTTATTTTGTTCTATTGCTGTACTTTGTCATCTTAGTCATACCCATGACTCCACTGAAAACCAGCGTTATGAATAGATGTATATCATCAATTCGTGACTTAAAGCTGAGTCGTGGCCATTTTGGTGCATATTACATTATTTCTTTTTTTAATATTTAGTAAAGATGATTTTTTTCTGTTTTACTTGATTTGTTTACCTTTGTTATAATTTATGTGCCAAATAAACTTATTTCTTTCTTTCTATCTTTATATTCTTGCAGATGAATGTCCACCCAACGAGGAGTACCTCACTTGCGGGTCAGCATGCCCCTTAAATTGCACTAACCAGTACGACGAACCAGTGGCATGCACAGCGAATTGCGTTGCAGGTTGTTTTTGCAAGCCTGGTTTCCTGAGGAATAAGTATGGTGCATGTGTACCAGTTGAAAAATGTTTCGGTAAGAACATGCAGAAAATATTGGCTTAGTATGTTCTTCTTATGTGGTATATATTGACTTTGTACTTGGTTTATTTTACAAAACGGAAGTAAAAACGATCTTACAGTTCACCTGATCGTATGTGGCTAATGCAGTCTATGAAAACTTGCTACCAACTATATACAAAGAAGATTATAGATGCGTTTTTCTGCCGACTTCCAAACAGGAGACGGTACTCAATTCGACGCGTATGTTTTTTTTTAATGTGTGTTGCTTTTTACTGGGTGAACCGATTTCGATGATTCTTTTTTTATATGAAAGCTGATACTTCTTGTGTGGTCTCATATGAATTTGATCAAGGTCAGACCAATAATTTTTAAGTTATTCTTAAATAACTTGTATTGAAGTCGGCTGTACAAATTTTTTAATTTTAAATTATCACAAATAAGTATTAATACGGGAATCCTCACAGCCTGTACATATACTTGCTATCTATACCTTCAGACTGGAACCCAGAGAAACTACTATATGGTGGTGGACATAGGTAAGAGGGTTGTATATACCCAGGTGGCCTACCAAGCAGAAAATAAGTCCTGCCACGTAGAGAACTTAAACTTAAAGCTAAAGCTTGCAACAAGGATATGCCATAATTGGCAGGTGATTTGATGGCAGTACTGTCACACACCTTAGATGCTGATTCCAGTCCCTGGCCTAAGTAAATCTGTGATATAAGAACGAGATGATATATCGCCATTTATTGATAACTTTGTCATTTTTTTGGTCTTTATCATAATCGCAGAACAATCGATCACAGAACCAGATGTATCACACCTTCAACGCTGGTCTCATAGTTTGTCAAGGTATTTAACATTATGACTCTCCACCGATTAACTTATGCGATCCTCAAGAAATACTCGCCATAAGTCACCTTTACCTATTGACTTATTTCATATCTTATCAGTTCGCCATCGTCGATCCATCTCGAAGCAAACCTAATGCCACTTCATTTTACTGATTGGTACGTTGGGTTAGGATGGATAATCTGGTTTTACTGGGGATATCCTCATTACAAATTATATCTCCGAAACTCTGAGGGCTATCCCTTCATAGCTCGATGCACAAATTATTATGATTAGTCAAATTTAATGTAAATAATATTTTTTGAGACAGGTTTTTTTCAATTTATTAAGTTTTGTTATTTGGAAATTCGGATATAATTTTCACAAAAAATTATTTTTCGTTTAATTAGAGAACGACTATGTCTGCGGCGAAAACGAAGAGTATAATTCATGCGGCAGTGCTTGTCCTCGGATATGCTCCCAACCTGAACCTGAGGCTTGCATTTTAGTTTGTAGAGAGGGCTGCTTCTGCAAATCAGGATACTGCAGAGACAAAAGTACTAACAAGTGTGTCAAGGAGGATGAATGTTCTGAAAGTAAGTACTTCCGGGTTATTCAATTTTGTGTTTATCATATTTGATTTGACCAAAAAGATATATTTTTCAGAAGTTATTTGTTGAAGCGCACACGCGTACACGCACACACGCGCAAACGCGCACACGTGCAAACGCGCACACACGCAAACGCGCACACACGCAAACGCGCACTCGCGCAAATGCGCACACGCGCACACGCACACGCGCGCACACACATACACACACAACATGTTGGTGGTTTCTTGTCGGTTAAAAAAGTTTTCCACATATACACATAACATGGTAGTGGTTACTTGTTAAAAAATTTCTTTTGGATTTAAGTAATTTGGTTTTGTACAAGTAGCCCTCCGTGAGCGCCACCACCTGCCCGACTGCCGCTCCTGCAGACGTGATGTAAGTGATAGGTGTTACCACCAATTTCATGGTTAGCACGGCTTCTAGCCGCAGAGCGTGTTATGAGTCTACGACTCACCGCAAGGGAATGGGGTCCCACGATAGGCAGCTTTCTGCCACAGCCGTGAGAGTGTCCACCCTCCAGCTACCATCATGCATGAGTATGAGGTCCACACATGTGTTAGGCAGTTTTAAAATAATATTAATAATACAGCCATCCGAAAAGATCTGTATTCCTGACGGTGAGTATATTCATTTTTCGATCATGTTTGTCTCACCCATCAATAAGTTGCTTTCAATCATTCAAAGGTGAGAAATTGACACAGATATTTTATTATGTTATTGTATAAAATATTATGGAGGCCAGATAGTCTGCAGCTCCATCATCAAAGGACCTGTCTTGTGCAAAGCTATTTAGGTGTGAGTCAAACCAAGACGCAGAGAGCGCCATTAAGAAAAGTGACCCGCCTGACCACAGTAGAGATGCAATGCTGCAAAACGCAAAAAGCACAATACGACTATCGTCAGGTTTACACCATCCGAAGGTCCTCCACACGAGCCCAGCATACATACCACCCATATACCTCCATCGACCAAAACTACAAGATGCGTCTAATCAGGCGCAGCTCACCCGCAAATCCATCACCAGACGCAATACCAAGTAGTAATAAGCGTCAATGCAACTATCTTATGAATGGCGCCCTTTCATAACACACCCCTATCGACTTTTTTGTTAACGTTGTTAACTAAAACTAGCACCAACGTATCATGGTAGCACGGTATTAAGCCGCCAGTAACCAAACATCCATGTATCATAAGAGGTGTTTAGGCCAAATAATTAATATTGTAGAAACTTGTATTCAAGACTCGCGTCGGCGTGTCCTTCCGTAAAAGTCACCGCCTGGGACAGTTGCGCGCGCACGTTGCATCGGGCGACCGCGCCCTTTTTAGTATGCCAGTTACTTGTGAAGCGGTCGGCCGCGTGACAAACGCCTCTTATTTGGTTGTCTTTTTCAACGAGGCCCTTTTGAGTTTGAAATGCTAAAAATTTGCGGTTTTCTTTGAGTTTTGAGTGATTCATTTTACTTGATTGCCATTAATTTGCGCCGACTGGTTGTTGTTTTGGTGGCTTTTTAATATTGTAAGAAGGAATTTTGCTTGTCGGGAGAACGCTAAACTTTGTGACTCGAGAGGAGATCGCGTATGCTCGATTATAATTTTGTGCTAAGTGAACCTGGGACATTGAACCTTGACCGACCGTCCTTAAGTTGTGTAGCGTGTTACTTGTTTTAATGTCGATTAACGTTGAATTGGTTGAATTTGAAGTTAATTAAATGTACAATAAAATTGATAAACTAATATAGTGAAATAAAAGCTGAAGGCTTCAATTGGTGAACGCCCACTGGAGTGATCGCACATTGTGGATAGGAGCAGCGACTGTGGGTCTGCTCTCGGATTACATCGGACGTCTGGTTACATCTACACACTTTCATACACTACTTATATACACCAACTTACCACCCTTTATCTATTGCAGCCGCCATCTTGGATTTACATTTCGACAGCACTATCGGCTTCAATACCCTTGAAAACCATGAAAATGACACCCATGATGAAAAAATTGATACCTATTGCAGCCGCCATCTTGGATTTACATTTCAACAGCACTATCGGCTTCAACATCCTCGAAAACCATGAAAATGACACCCATGATGAAAAAATTGACACCTATTTTAGCCGCCATCTTGGATTTACATTTCGACAGCACTATCGGCTTCAACACCCTCGAAACCCATGAGAATGACACCCATGATGAAAAAATTTTTTACTATTGCAGCCGCCATCTTGGATTTACATTTCGACAGCACTATCGGCTTCAATACCCTTGAAAACCATGAAAATGACACCCATGATGAAAAAATTGATACCTATTGCAGCCGCCATCTTGGATTTACATTTCAACAGCGCTATCGGCTTCAACATCCTCGAAAACCATGAAAATGACACCCATGATGAAAAAATTGATACCTAATTCAGCCGCCATCTTGGATTTACATTTCGACAGCACTATCAGCTTCAGCACCCTCGAAAACAATGAAAATGACACCCATGATGAAAAGTTGATACCTATTGCAGGCGCCATCTTGGATTTACATTTCGACAACCCTATCGGCTTCAACACCTTCGAAAACCATAAAAATGACACCCATGACGAAAAAATTCATACTACTTACTTTTACTACGGACTACTATTATTTATTCTGTGCTTTTAAAATATTGTAATAAAAAATCTCTCATATTATTATAATCAAGTATTTAAGAAATTTGGATTATTCGAATATTGTGATTTGTACAGCGATCTTTTTCAGCACGACTGCGTCTGAGGCCGAACTCAGTGACGCAGTCTCTATTTAGTAATAATTTACATACAAGGCTGCCGAATACAACGAAAATTTCGCCATTTCGCAGCCGAAAAAAAATTATTATAACTAAACTAAAGAATAGAATAGAATAGAATAGAATAGAATGATTTTTATTCAATATGGATTATTACATAATACTTATTGAAAGTCATTATTTTATTTACCACTGGTTCGGAAAATACCTCTGTCCTGGGAAGAACCAGCAAGAAACCCAGCGGGACTTTTTTTTTTAAACATAATTTCACTTAACAATAATTTTGATTATACAATTTTAAATGAATTTTCATAGAACCAGCATGGTGGCGATCACCTTATTCCCAGGGGTTATTTTCACTCATGTATTCCTTGATATTATAATAACCCTTTTTGTACAGTTTTTCTTTAATAAAACTTTTAAACTTGTTTATTGACAAACTTTGAACATGTTCTGGGATTCTGTTGTAAAAGCGTATACATTGCCCCATAAATGAATTACTAATTCTGTGGAGTCTTGTAAGTGGCATTACAAGCTTATGTTTGTTCCTAGTGTTTAAGGTATGAACATCCTTATTCTTATTAAAGCTATTTATGTTTTTATGTACATACATTACATTTTCATAAATATATTGCGATGCCAAAGTTAATATGTTTATTTCTTTAAATTTTTCTCTAAGGGACTCTTTACAATTTAGATTATAAATCGCCCGTACGGCTCTCTTTTGCAAAACAAATATAGCTTCAATATCAGTCGCATTACCCCATAGCAAAATTCCATAAGACATTACGCTATGAAAGTAACTAAAATACACTAACCTAGCTGTCTCAACATCTGTGAGACTTCTAATCTTTCTTACAGCATATGCTGCAGAACTAAGTCTGCTTGCTAATTTAGATATATGGGGGCCCCATTGAAGTTTCGCGTCAATAGTAATACCGAGAAAAACAGTGGTATCCACAAGACTCAACTCCTCCCCATTTAAGAGCACATTGGTTTTCGAATGTTTTACATTAGGTATTGTAAATTTAATACATTTTGTCTTATTGCCGTTTAAGAGCAAATTGTTGGCGTTAAACCAATGTACTAGTTTCGATAGAGCATTATTTACATCGTCATATTTAATTGACTGCCGTTTCAGTTTGAAAATTAAAGAGGTATCGTCAGCAAATAATACTATATCGTGATTGTCCCCTACAAGATAAGGTAAGTCATTAATATAGATTAAGAACAGGAATGGGCCAAGAATCGAGCCCTGAGGAACGCCCATTGATACTACCGATCCGGAGGAACATTTACCATTAATGACGACTTTTTGAGTTCTGTTACTTAAATATGAAGTAATAAGTTTAAGCGCCAAATTTTTTACACCGTAATGTTGTAGTTTCCTGATTAATGTATCATGATGAACACAATCGAAAGCCTTGGAAAGGTCACAGAAAATACCTAAGGCATCTTGTGAATTCTCCCAGGCATTAAAAATATATTTCATAAGCTCAACACCGGCGTCAGACGTCGAGCGACCCCTTGTAAAACCAAATTGATTTTTATGAAGTAATTTATTTGTATTAAAAAAAAATAACAATTGATCCAAAATTATTTTTTCAAAAATTTTACTTAGAGTTGGTAGTACAGAAATAGGTCTATAATTAGCGGGGTCCAATGTACTACCAAAATTAAACAAAATTAAACTACCATTTACATTCAATCGCTTCCCACATGATAGATGAAGAGTTTTAAAAATATATTGAGTTGAACAATTGATATTTTCAAAATTTATCGTGTTTACAACCCTTGCGGACTTGATAAATCCACACCATAAGCCACTAAAATCCCTTTTTTATTTAAAAATAGCAATTAATCGATTTAAAAAAATATTAATAAGTTCAACAATCATTTATCTTTTTGACAATGTGCTATTTATATCACTTATATGTACAATATGATTGCTAGATACGATTTCATGCGATAAAACGTTGGAATCTAAATTTTTAGGCGATAGTAGAACATACTTTGCGCTTTCGCTTAAGGCATGCAAAAGTGGGCAGTAAGTAAGTATTTCTTATCTTTACCGATTAACGCTGGCGATGCTTAATGTACGAAATGAATCTATTTTAACTTTTGTGCTTATGCTATTTAATTGTCAAAATATTACATCTATGATATTTTAAGACAACTTTATATAAAGTAAAAATACTTAATTTTATCTACAATATTAAAAACTATGATAATAAAAAAAAAAACTAAAACTAGAAACTTAATTATCATATAGTCCGACTCCCCGCGGTACTTTATATAGCAATAAATTATTATTTATTATTAATAATAATGCGCCGTCACAATACGTATAAATTTATATTTACGTAAAAATGACTAATACTCGCTTTTGACGTTTAAGTTTGAAGATCGAGCTCATTCCATATGTTTTTATTTTTGTTTTCGTATATGTAGATAAAAGTTTCGTAACTATACTGTAAGAGCCCTTACCTTTCCAGCCTTTCTATCATAATCCTACCGCTGGACATAGGCCGCGCTCATAGATTGCTTCATAGGGGGGATATCTGCCAAGCTTGGCAGGGGGGTTAGCAATTGCAGTTTTCATATTTGTTATTTTTTTTTAGTTGTTTTTAAGACGACGCTGCTGCCCACTTCCTGGTTTGATGCCCTCTGTTACCTCTTTTTTTTTCTTAAAAAAGAAAAACGTTACCCACACACTAGGATTATCTCTTGTATCGTGGAAGCAGTTTACAAACACAAATTGCATAAGGACAAACATCCAGACCCGGAACAATTATTTGTAGGCCATACAAATACTTGTTCCGTGCGGGCGCAGCAACTCATTGCTGAGCCACTGCCCCACGGAGCCGTCATACGACTTACGACTCCCACGGGAAGATAAGCAGTAGTAAATATTCTCTCAACGCCACTACACGGTTGAACGTTAATATATATGTATATTTCAAAGTTTCCCTAAGATATTTCTTTGTATTTGGGATATAAAAGGCTCAACTCTAAAATAAAGATATTTTCAATCACATTAATGTCAGTCGCATTACTTCATAGCAAGATTCGATACATATTGCTCCGAAAATAATTAAAATGAACTAGCTGTTTCAATACCAGTAAGGCACACAGCCTACCTGATTGTACGTGGATGCTGTGGTCCATAGACAGTTAGTTACATCTGTCCTTGATTAAGAATCAAAATGCAGATGCGTTGTTACTCCTGAGGACTACGAAGGAATGCCTCGTTTCCAGCGAACAGGGTCTTCAGTTCTGTATAGTCACCATACTAAATAATGTTGCTGCATTAAGCTGCTATTTTATGCTGGTATTTCCTCGCATTGTTTTCCTCAACGTAAAGCACATGGTAAATTGCATCTAACAATTTTATTGTTGAATGCGGGGATTTTATCCGGGTAGCTCGCGTACCAGATCAAATGTAATAGAAATCTTTTAATAGAAGTTTTATAAATTGTTTTAATTTTTAGATCGCTGCCCCAAGAACGAAGTCTATGACATGTGTAACGCCGGCTGCCAGCCATCGTGCAATAACTCTAGTCCAATTTGCACGAGCATCTGCTTGGCTGGATGTATCTGCTCTCCGGGTCTAATGCGCAACGCTGACGGTCATTGTGTCAGCGTCGATAAGTGCTTTGAGACTGGGCCCTACAATAGTTACCTGTACAACTATTTAAACGCCATTTATAGACTTCTGTATCTGTCCTACTATTAGATATGTGGATCGATAGCTATCGATAAATTATTTACGCATTTATTCACGGAAATATATTTAAAAATTAAAATTTACAAGTTTTTGGCGCTTTTTAATAAAACTGTTGATGAAAAATTAAAAAGGGTCTATTTTTTAATATGATCATCTACTTACTATTATACCATAGCCCTATCTACATCTATCCTAGATTAAGAATCAAAATGCAGATGCGTTATCATTCCTGAGGACAAAGATGGAATGCCTTGGTTCCAGTAAAAACAGGTCTCCAGATTTCTGTTCCCTTCTGATCTCTGTTGGTACACTCACCATATAAAACACAGCAGCATTAAAAAAAAATCCTCTTCCCCCCGGACCACCGTACGGTGTGGACGTTAATTATTCTGTGCCAGTTGATTTTCCAAATTAAAATATAAAATCTTGTAATTTAAATCAGAACTCAAAAATAGGAGTGCGTAAGTGAACAGGAGTTATAGAAATCCTCCACTAAACATCATTGTTGTGACGCCATATTAAGAAGGTAACTAACTAAACAGCGCCGACTCCACCCACGTTGCCGCTGATTCGCTGCGCTAATCCACACCTAGCTGCTTTTTTTTATAGAAGAGGGGGCAAACGAGCATGCGGCTCACCTGATGGTAAGTGACTACCGCCGCCCATGAACAACCGCAACCCCAGGGGAACCAAGGGAATTGCAGATGCGTTGCCGGCCTTTTAGAAAGGTGTAAGCTCTTTTCTTGAAGGTTCCTAAGTCGTATCAGTCCGGAAAATTCGCTGGTGGTAATTGATTCCACAACGAAGTTGTGCGAGTGAGAAAACTTCTTCTAAATCGCACAGTGGTGGACCGCCAATCATCCAGATGGTATGGATGGTAACGTGAGTTTTGTCGCGATGTGCGATGGTGAAATTGAGCGGCTTGAATTATTCCGAACAATTCCTCAGAGCACTCCCCATGGTAGATGCGATAAAATACGCAAAGAGATGCAACATCTCTACGCAATGCCAGTGTATCAAGCCGATCAGAAAGAACTCGGTCGTCGACGATTCGAACCGCTCTACGCTGGATGCGGTCAAGTGGAAGGAGCTGGCACTGGGGTGCCCTGGCCCAGAGATGAGAACAGTATTCTATGTAGGGCCGAACTTGCGCTTTGTAAAGTTGCAAGCGATGTGCCGGCATGAAATACTGTCTCGCTCTGCTGAGCACGCCAAGCTTTTTAGAGGCCAATTTGGCCTTCTCTTCTAAGTGACCACGAAACTGCACACTATTCGATATGTCGACGTCAAGGATTCCGATACTAGCTGAGGCAGCAAGGGGAGTGCCTTGAAACTGAGGAGATACGATAAAGGGGTTCTTTTTAGCGATAAACGCGCAAACTTGTGTCTTTTGGGGATTGAACTAGACTAGATTTAGTAGGCCCCAGTCCGAGACTTTATTAAGCAAAGACTCGACTTCAGACACAAGTTTGTCCCGGTACTCAGCGAAGTTTTCCCGAGAAATATTGGCACGGCTGGTATATAAGGCATCACCAGTGCTGACTGAGTTATGCAGATTACCACTACTAATCATTCTACTACGCTCCTATCTATTTCTAAATTAAAAAAACAGCTAAATGATAATAAAACTAAATAAATGAAAAATTTTGGAAATGCTTTAAAATAGCTACAGACTAAAAACTTATCAGAATTATTACTTTGTAGCGATCCATTGACTGTAAGTAACAAATTAATAGATAAAAAATTACGGAAAGTCTTAAACTAAATACATCAGTGGCTACTATTCCATGAAGTAAAAGAATAATACAACCGTGGATATCTGCAGGAATCTTACGCTGTATAAGAAACAGAAATAACCTTCAGGAAAACTTACGAAAAGACCCACATAATGACATTCTTCTCCTTACATACAGCAGATACAGGAATTACTATAACAATTTAATAAAATGAATGAAAATACAATTTGATAGAGAAAATATTATTAAATCTTTAAATAACAATAAATTATTATGGAAAAATATAAAAAAATATTACTTACACTAATAAATCACGAAATACTAACATTGAACTACTCAATCTGAAATCATCGCCCGCCGAATCTGCAAACTTCATAAATAGCTATTTCTTAAATATAGGAATCTAACTTGCCAATAAAATCCAGAATGTCAAAGAGACCCTTAGTAGACCCGTAGATAACAATCCGGTAACATTACACTCCTTTGTTTTACTATATACGGACATAGACGAAGTTAAAAATATAATTTTAAACTTAAAATCAAACAGCGCTCCAGGCTGGGACAATATCCCCAATGACTTCTTAAAATTGGCAGTCAATGACTTGGCTCCTATTATTTCCCATTTAACTAATCTATGTTTCGATACAGGGATATTCCCTGCACCATTAAAGCAGTCTATTATTACGCTTGTGCACAAGGGCGGAGACAGAAATGACATTAATAATTACAGACCAATTTCCGTTCTACCAGCAATATCTAAAATTCTAGAAAAGTTACTTAATATTAGATTACTCAACTACTTAAATAAATTTGATATATTGGCAACCACACAGTTTGGCTTCAGACAAGAAAGATCGACAGAAGATGCAATTCTTGCATTAAGCACATTTGTAACAGAACAACTCGACCACAGTAAAAAATGTTTGTCAGTTTTCCTTGATTTGAAGAAAGCATTCGATACCATCTCTGTCCCTATGCTTGTGCACAAGCTTGAAAAAGTTGGAATAAGAGGGACCCCGCTTGCTCTTTTCGAAAGCTACCTGTCAGAGAGAAAACAAAAGGCAAACCTTCCTGGGTTCAGTGGGGATACGGGAGTATCATCATATGGCGTACCACAGGGTAGCGTTCTGGGCCAATCTTATTTTTAATTTATACCAACGACCTATGCAGCATGACCATACCAAATGTTAAAATTCTGTCGTACGCCGATGACACGGCTGTGTTTTTTGCTGGTGAATCTTGGGAGGTTGTCAAGACTAGTGCTGAAAGTGGTCTAGCTAGAGTCGCTCTGTGGTTGCAACAAAATCTTCTCACTCTAAATACAGCTAAGACAAATTTTATTTGCTTTAGCATTACTAACAACTCGCAACCACAGACTGACTTTTGCCTTAAAATTCATCCATGTAATGAGGATGCTAAAAACAAAGCTTGTGACTGTCCATCAATTGAAAAAGTCTCTCACACTAAATATCTCAGCGTCATTGTAGATCAGAGGCTATCGTGATATCCACACCTGGAGCATGTCATCAGTAGGACTCCAAAATTGATTTGGATATTCAAAGCCCTAAGACGCGTAATACCAGATAATACTGTTACGCGCCACTATTAATGTCTTGTACATGGCAACACAAGTTACACTAGCGCCCCCTAGTGTCGAGTAAATGAAAGTATTGCGCGCCACTATTAATGTCTTGTACATGGCAACACTAGTTACACTAGCGCCCTCTAGTGTCGAGTAGCAAAACTAGGAGAGTCGAGATCCTTCCAGAAATTTCGGGACCGATATGTACTCGAACATTCTAGATGTCGCTACAGTAGAAGGTTCTGGAAACTATCTGAGGCCCTATATAAGGCCGGTATAGACCACGACCGGGGCAGTATTGAATTGGCGATACGAGAGAATACTTCGAAGCGAAATAACGGCGAACTGTGTTTTATTATTAGTGTGATTTTAGACTGTAATTAGTGTTGTGTAATTAAAGTGTCAATTTTGGTAATTCAATCGGCTGTTTTTAATTGTCTCGAACCCCAAGCTCGTAACAATTGGTGTCAGAATCAGATCAAATATGCCGATTTTACCTAAAGACGACACCGAGGGTATCCGTACCCGAAGTCAACGCCAACAGGAGACGGACCAGAGACGATTTAGTGGTGCAACGTCACAGACGTCGGCAGGCCAGTTGCCGACCACGGAGGCCGGCCCGTCAGCAGCTCCTGCATCTGCAGCACCTGACTTAGGTACTCTGATGATGATGCTGCAGGAACAGGCTCGCCGACAGGAGGAACAGGCCCGCCGACAGGAGGAACAAGCCCGCCGACAGGAGGAACAGGCTTGTCGGTTGGAAGAGCAGCTGCAGCGCGGACAGGAGGAACAGGCCCGTCAACAGGAGGAACAGGGCCGTCGGTTGGAAGAGCAGCTCAAACGCGATAAGGAAGAGCAGATACTTCTCATGAAAGACCTTCACGCTACCTTCGGGAAAGAAATAAGTGAGGTGAAGGATAAGGTTGCTCAATATCACAACCGCCTGTCGGAAGCTGAAACCCGAATCGACCAAGTGTACAATCGTGTTGACAATGTGATGGCTGACGTGAAGAAAACGCTGAACGACCTCAAAATTGGGGATGGAGTTACAGCTCCCGTGGTAGCTACAACACCTTCGCTACGTGGATTCAAAGTGCCACCGTTCGACGGGACTTCTTCCTGGTCGGCCTACAAAATCCAGTTCGAGGCTGTCATGAAAGCGAACGGCTGGAATAAAAGTCAGACCATGACTGCTCTCACCCTAGGCCTGCGCGACCAGGCTTTAACTGTTCTGGAAGCTCTCGGTAAGGAAGTGACTTACGAGCAGCTCCTTAAGGCATTGGAGGCGAGATATGGCGACGCTCACCTGGAACACGTCTTTCGTGCGCAGCTCAAAGATCGCGTGCAACGCAGTAACGAAAACCTGCAGCAGTGGGCCCTTGAGGTGGAGAAGCTGGTTCGAAAAGCGTACCAGTCTGTACCTGCGCTTATTGTAGGGAACCTGGTGCAGACATTCATTGATGGCATCCGCGACCTTGAAGTCAGAGCTGCTGTGAGGCTCGGGCACCACGATACGCTTAAGGACGCCTTGACCCATGTACTGGAGGTGGAAGCCGTGCGGCAGGATCATCGTTCCCACCGCGTCAGGGAGGTTGCAGCAGCTACAGTTCAGGACCGCAATAAAAGCTACAGCCCTAGGTGCTACGGCTGTGGGGAAAGGGGCCATCTTCGATCCAGCTGCCCTAAACGAACTGTAGAAAGGGAAGGTGATCGATCTCATGAGGGTAGTGCGGATAATAGCACCGCCCAGCAGCAGCAGGGAAACGAGTAAAAGCCAGGACTGCAGGGCGGGTGCTGGCTGATGTTAAAAGAGCCCCAAGGATTTCGTTCTCACAAACCCGTGATGGGAACAGCTTAATCATCAAGGGCGAAGTCAACGGAACGCCGTGTAAACTGACCATAGACACTGGGAGCCTCTCGCACGGTTGTCAGTTCCCAACTTATAAGTCGGTTCTTTGGGGACTCCGCATACAACCGAACGCATTAATTTGTGACAGCCACCGGTCAGCGCATACCCATCCGTGGAGAGAAGGAGATGGAGTTGAAGCTAGGCAACATGATCTACCTGCATAATGTCATCGTGGCTGATATAATGGACGACTGCATCCTGGGCCTAGACTTTATGAGGAAGAATTGTTGTGAGATCGACGTTAAGCAAGGTGTTTTGAAATGTGGACAAGAGGAACTTTTCGTGGAAGGGGCGTTACCAGGGAATGTGTACAGCCTTAAGAAGATTGTTCTTCCGCCGAGATCGGAAACGATTGTGCTGGTTAGACTTCCACGGAATCCTGGGCAAACTCTTCGTTGTGTACTCGTGGAAAGGGTAGACAATGACCTTCCATGGAAAGTGGCTCGAACCTTGGTCAGAACCACCGACATCTCAGGAGTACGTGTGCTGAACCTTTGTGATCAGGAACAGATTATAGAAAAAGGCACATTGGTTGGTACTAGTGAGGAAGTGGATTGGTTGCGTCAGTGCCAATATCTATCGACTGGGACCCCCAGCAAGGATGGACAAACTAGAGTGACCACACTTTTAGAAGACTGTCGCAGCGTTCTCTCCCCGAATGAAATGGTCAAAGCGAAGAAGTTGTTACTCAAGCACGCCAATGTTTTATCGTCAAACGAAGCTGACATAGGAAAGACTGGCTTAGTTCAACACAAAATAAACACAGGACAAGAATTGCCTATTCGTCAGCGGCCAAGAAGATTGCCTGTAGCACGTGAAAAGGAAGTGGAAACCATGATTGAGGGAATGGTGAAGGATGGTGTTATTGAACCTTCATCTAGTCCATGGTGTTCACCTGTGGTGCTGGTAAAGAAGAAGGACGGCAGCATGCAGTTTTGTGTTGACTACCGCCGCCTGAACGACGTTACGAAGAAGGACAGCTATCCCTTGCCAAGAATTGATGACACGCTGGACATGCTTACAGGCGTAAAGTGGTTTAGTACGCTGGATCTGAAAAGTGGCTACTGGCAGGTTGAAATTGACCCTAAGGACAAGGAGAAAACTGCATTCTCCACAGGAAAGGGTCTGTGGCAATTTAAAGTCATGCCGTTTGGATTGTGCAATGCTCCAGCAACGTTTGAAAGGTTGATGGAGCTTGTACTTACCGGGCTAATTGGAGATGCCTGTCTGGTCTATTTGGATGAAATCATCATCGTAGGCCGTACGTTTGAGGAACACCTTCAAAACCTGGAACGCGTGCTCATGAAGATCCAGAGTGCCAACCTCAAGTTGAGTTCAAAGAAGTGCTCACTATTCAAACGGCAAGTTAGTTTTAGTTTTAGTTAGGTAGTTACGGATCCAGAGAAAATTGCCACTGTTAAGGAGTGGCCGATTCCAAAAGACAAGACACAGGTTAGAGCGTTTTTGGGTTTGTGCTCTTATTATCGGCGATTTGTGAAGAACTTTGCAGATATAGCCAAACCTCTGCACAAGCTAACCGAGGAGAAGCGACATTTCTGCTGGGATGAAAGTTGCGATATTGCATTCCAGGAGCTCAAGAACCGTCTGTGCAAAACACCTATTTTGGGGTACCCTGATGCGGGCAAAGAATTCATAGTTGACACAGACGCAAGTGATATAGGACTTGGCGGTGTATTGTCTCAAGGGAATGGTGATCAAGAGATTGTGATAGCGTACTTCAGCAAGTCGTTGTCAAAGCCGGAAAGGAACTATTGTGTCACAAGACGGGAATTGCTTGCTGTGGTAAAGTCCTTGCAGCATTTTAGCAAATACCTCCTGGGGCGGAAATTCTACTTACGAACTGACCATGCTGCACTGAAATGGCTATTGCAGTTCAAAAATCCGGAAGGACAAGTTACGAGATGGATTGAACTACTACAGGAATACGACTTTGTGATCGAACATCGCAGCGGGAAATCTCATGACAATGCAGATGCATTATCAAGAAGACCTTGCCCTGAAGATTGCAAGCATTGTACTAGGCAAGAGGGTAAAGAAGTGGTATCTGCGAGGCTATTCAGGGCAGACCAGCTCAGCAATGAATGGAAGGACAGCCTATGCACAGCAGGAAGATTCGGACATTAAGCCGATTCTGGAATGGATGAAGGCCAGTGCTCCTAAGCCCAAGTGGAGCGACGTGTCAGCAATGAGTTCGACCACGAAAAGCTATTGGGCCCAATGGGACAGCTTGCTGATTCAGGATGGAGTCCTGTGCCGTAAATGGGAAAATGGTCGGGGAGACAGGTGTCATTTGCAAATGGTTGTCCCTAAGGCTAAAGTGCCGGATGTTCTACAGCTGTACCATAGTGGTTGTTCAGGAGGCCACCTGGGAGTTAAACGAACTCTCCTGAAGATCCGAGAACGGTTTTACTGGGTCCACTGTCGTGACGATATCGAGGACTGGTGCCGCAAATGTACAAGTTGTGCGGCTGTAAAGGGATCTCAAATTCGTAGTAGAGGCGCATTGAAATTGTACAATGTTGGTGCACCATGGGAGAGGATAGCCATTGAGGTTGCGGGGCCATTTCCAGAAACTGAAAGTGGTAACCAGTATTTCATGGTTGTGATGGATTACTTCACTAAGTGGCCAGAAGTTTTCGCTATTCCAAATCAAGAAGCTTCAACAGTTGCAGATAAACTAGTCCATGAAGTCTTCTGTCGTTTTGGAGTACCTTTAGAGATTCACAGCGATCAAGGAAGGAATTTTGAGTCTCAAATATTCCAGGAAACTTGCCGAGTTGTGGGTACTCAAAACACGAACAACTTCTTACCACCCACAATCTGATGGAATGGTAGAAAGATTTAATCAGACATTGGAGAGGTACCTAGCAAAAGTTGTGGAAAAACGGCAACGAGACTGGGACAGGCACATACAACCATTTTTGTTGTCATATCGAAGCGCTGTTCACGAAAATACATCAGTGACACCAGCTTTCGCAAACTTTGGGAGAGAATTGCGGCTGCCTGCAGACCTAATCACCGGAATACCACCTGATGCCCCACGCAGTATAACTGATTATGCAAATGACTTGCGGAACAAAATGAATGACATTTATGAGCACGTCAGACAGACGGGCCAGCAACGACGGCCAACGTCTGAGAAGATGAAAACACGGTATGACCGCAAAATGAACAACAAGGGGTTTGATGAAGGTTCACTAGTGTGGTTACACAATCCAGTTCGCAGCAATTGGAAATCTCCTAAGCTTCAAGCTAAATGGGACGGACCGTACCGGATCGTGACAAGGATCAATGACGTAACCTACCGGATACAGAAAGGTGCCAGAGGTACTCCTAAGATTGTCCATGTGGATCGACTGGCGCGTTATTATGGGGCCAATAATGCTCGGGACGAGCATGTCTTAGGAGGGGGCAGTGTTACGCGCCACTATTAATGTCTTGTACATGGCAACACTAGTTACACTAGCGCCCCCTAGTGTCAAGTAAATGAAAGTATTGCGCGCCACTATTAATGTCTTGTACATGGCAACACTAGTTACACTAGCGCCCTCTAGTGTCGAGTAGCAAAACTAGGAGAGTCGAGATCCTTCCAGAAATTTCGGGACCGATATGTACTCGAACATTCTAGATGTCGCTATAGTAGAAGGTTCTGGAAACTATCTGAGGCCCTATATAAGGCCGGTATAGACCACGACCGGGGCAGTGTTGAATTGGCGATACAAGAGAATACTTCGAAGCGAAATAACGGCGAACTGTGTTTTATTATTAGTGTGATTTTAGATTGTAATTAGTGTTGTGTAATTAAAGTGTCAATTTCGGTAATTCAATCGGCAGTTTTTAATTGTCTCGAACCGCAAGCTCGTAACAATACTAAACAGTCGGACTCTCCCAGATATCTTCTAAACCAAATATACATATCCCTTGCACAATCTATCATAACTTATTGCATTCCGGTGTGGGGTGGAGCTACAAAGACCCAATTTCTTAACTTGGAAAGAGCTCAGCGAATCCTTCTTAAGGTCATGTATTTTAAAAAAAACGTTTTTCCACTGAAAAACTGTATCAAATAAGTGGTCTACTCTCAGACAATTATACGTTACTATGACAACGCTCAAAGCACACAAATCCGTGACCTTTGACCCATGCATCTTGGAAAAGCGGCGAAAAGATGTTGTGGCTGTGTCTTCTCGTTCCAAAACAGTGTTTGCTAGTAGGCAATTTAGCTCCCGTTCTACATTCCCCAAGCATAGCCCTCTCCATAGCGCTCTTTCTAGGTATGTATGTGGTCAGATATAAGTTATTAAATAAACTCTATATATTAACGCATTTACAGGAAATATATTTATGAAAGTTCACGTTGGTATATGATTATTTTGCATATGAGCAATTATGAAAACACATCTGAAGAACAGTAACAACCTGCTTCTTAGCATAGTCTTAATCAGATGAAGGTAAGAGAATTGAATTCACAAATAAAAACTATGTATGACTCGCGCATAATGAAACCATACCGTGACCTATAGCGTCAACTAGTATGAAAACGTAATAATTAGTTGATTGTTACACTAAAATAAAAACTATGATATTTAGATTTAGAGACAATCAGGCGTATAATAGTTTAATTAACTTATTCAAATTAATATACGATATTTGCATACCTGTAGAAAAATTTAGAATTTCTTTTAAGAAAAAGTCAAATTGGGAAACAGTTAGCATTAAAAGAGCGTGCAAAACTAAAAGAAACTTGTACCAAAAAATACTGAAATATAAGAAAAACGAATTAATATTGTATTATAAGAAATACTGCAAAATATTAAAATCGGTAACACGTTTAGCAAAACAAAAATCAAATATAAAATTCATTAAAAATAGTAATAACAAAAATAAAGCTACATGGTACTTAATAACTATTAAAAATGTGACCATTGATAATACAAATATCACGAATGCAGGTGCTATAGCAGAAGTTTTTAACACTCACTTTGCTACCATTAACACTCAAACACAAGCCATGGATACCTACCCTCTACCTTCTAAACATCTACATAGCCTATATTTATCACCCGTTGACGCAAATGAATTGAAAAAAATAATCATAAACCTTAAAAATAAAAAGAGTTGCGGCTACGACAATATATCGATCCAAATTATTAAAAAATCCATAGATTATATTAGTGAGCCGCTTGTTTATTTACTTAACTTAATGATAGAAACCGGTACCTTTTCACATGAATTAAAAACAGCAAAAATCAAACCTATGTTCAAAAAAGGTTCAAAATATAATATCAAAGACTATAGGCCCATATCTATTTTATCCAACTTCTCAAAAATATTTGAAAGAATCATCTACAATAGGCTTATAGAGTTTTTCACAAAATATAGTATAATAAATAAAAATCAATTTGGTTTTTAGAAAAATAAATCCACTACACCTGCAATGTATGAAATACTTAAGGAAATCTGGGAATCTTTAAATAATAAAACTTCTTGTGTAGGTTTGTTTTTAGATATGTCAAGGGCATTTGACTATGTAATATACGATGTACTATTAAATAAACTTGACAAATTAGGTATACGTGGTTTCGCATTAAAACTGTTAGAAAGCTATTTAAAAGATAGAGAACAACTCACAGCTATTGAAAAATTTGACAAAATCAGTAAAACTTTCGAAGAAGTACAGTCTAAGCCAGTTAAAATTACACTAGGTTTGCCACAAGGGAGTAGTTTGGGCCCTCTGTTATTCTTAATTTATGTGAATGACTTGCCAAATGTCACTGAAAATAGATGTGTTATGTTTTCTGATGATGCAACTATCTTTATACCCGATACTCAAATGAATTTTGAAAATAACTTAAATAAAACCTTAAAAAAGAGCAGTAGAATGGCATAATAAAATTAATTTAAACGTAAATTTAACAAAAACTAAAATTATTCAATTCAGAAGTTACAAAACAAAATCTATAAATTTAAATATTTCAGATAAAGACACCCAAATAGAAACAGTTGATAACATTAATTTTCTTGGAGTCACCATAGAGTGTCATTTAAACTGGAAATCTCACATTGAAAAAATAAACAAAAAAATATCTAGCTACAGTTACGCATTATCCAAATTAGCAGAAACAACTTCCGTTGATGTATCAAGGGCTGCATACTTCGACCAGGTATACCCTCTATTAGTTTACGGCATTATTTTCTGGGGTAATTCTACAAACGTGCAGTCAACATTTATTCTACAAAAGCGATGTCTGCGGATCATTTATAATATGTACTCAGACGAAACTCTAAGAAATGTATTCAAAGAAAAAGGCTATCTCACTCTTACTAATATTTACATTTTAGAAATTTCAATTTTTATCAAACAAAATAACAATTATTTTCAGATTAAATCTAACTTGAATTCACGTCCAATACGCAGTCAATATTAGAACAATTTATTTACACCTAAAATTAATAATTACATGTATGTAGAGCACTTTTTGTACAGGTATTAAAATATTTAATCATCTGCATCTGCATCACCTGATATAAAAGCTATGGACTTGCCAAGATTTAAAATACACCTCAAGAAGTGGTTAATATATAATGTGTTTTGTAATTTAAATGAATATTTTAATACAAAACATTAATTTATATAAAGTTTTATTTCTTAATTATTGCATAAACTGTGTAACATTTAATTGCAATGTCACCCGCAAATTGTACATACACAGCTTATTGGCAATAAATATTCTGATTCTGATTCTGATTCTGATAGAAAATAACGAGTAGGAATTACATAAGTACAACTCAATTTTTTTATATAAGATAAGGGTGACAAAAGAGCACACAGTCCACCTGATGCTGTGGCCCATAGGTATCTACATCTATTCTCTATTACGAATCAAAATGCAGATGCGTTGTAACCCGCGAGGACTAAGATGGAATGCCTCGTTTCCAGTAAAAAGGGTCTCCGGTTACAGTACACTTACCTTACGAAACACAGCAGCGTTAAGCTGCTATTTTACGCTGGTATTCTGTGAGAGCGTGATCCTTCCCTGATCGAGCTGACCCATTCGTGCTACCACCATACCTACTACTAATATAGCTGCAGTATGGCTCTACCACGTAAGTTTCTAGCAAAGTGTCCTTTCTTGGTTGAGAGGACCTGTTTCAGCTACAACCATATAACTGCTGCATGGCTCTGTCACGTTTAAACACGATACTAATGTAAACGTTATCTGACGCAGTCATTTCCCACAGAATATTATTTACCCTGAAGTTATTTACGGCGCGGTTTGTCCAGAAGAAGTACCGATAAACGATGACGTACAACGAGGTGGAGAAAGTTAAAAAATTGAAAATTAAATGAAATAAAATCCGTAATATTAGTTTTATTTAATGTGTAGTATTCGCGTCAATATATAAGCACTATGTTATTATATACTGTATGTAGCGTCATCATCATTACAGCACTTCACAAGTCCACTGCTGAACATAGCTCTCCCCCAAAGAATGTCACAAAGCACGGTCCTGAGCCACATGTATCCATCGACTTCCTGCATGTCTTCACTCCATCTAGTGGGGGAACGCTCTACACTTCGTACACTAGCACCGCCCAATTTTCAATGGAATCAAAGGCTTACTCATAGTCCACATACGGCAGAAATTGTGGCAAATTGTGGTCTAGGGTGCTAAAGCCCTTTCGGAAACCGGCTTCTTCGGGAGGCTGGAAGTTGTTGAGTCTGCATGCGAGACGATTTGTTATTACTCTCGAAAACAGCCCGTAGACGCGGCTGAGAAGGGAAATCGGTCTGTAGTTTTTCAAGAGAGCGTTGTCGCCTT